GTCTGCAGGAATGCCACGGACTGGACAGAGACACCCCCTCCCCAATTGCTCCTACGGCCCATCACCCACACCCTCTGTGTCTGCTCTCAGAATTCAGCATCAACCAGAGCTTTTGGAAAATATTTCCTTATGTCCCAGAAGAAAGTTTTTGTAGTTGGAACCCCCTCTCCCCAGCCCCAGTACCTGCCAGAGCACATTCCTCTTTAAGCCTTGGCCACTTGTGCCCAAATGTGGACATTTTGATCAGAGAATGTACCTTCCATCCCCAAATGAATTCTTTTCTTTTTTTTTTTTTTTTAAAGATTTTATTTATTTATTTGAGACAGAGAGAATGAGAGACAGAGAGCATGAGAGGGAGGAGGGTCAGAGGGAGAAGCAGACTCCCCGCCGAGCAGGGAGCCCGACGCGGGACTCGATCCCGGGACTCCAGGATCATGACCCGAGCTGAAGGCAGTCACTTAACCAACTGAGCCACCCAGGCGCCCCCAAAATGAATTATTTCCTGACATGACATTGTCTTTCTGGGCTGATTGGCTCCAAGTGTGTACATTATTCACTACGCAACGCCGGCCACCGGCGGAGATGCTGGGCCACGGAGTAACCACACGGCCCCTCCTGCTCGCTGTGCGCTCCACATGTGTCCTCTCATTCAGCCCTCACAGCACCTCTGTGCCTCGGGGCTTATCCAGCATGCTTCCTTTTCCCCCGTGCTTCACCTCATCGAGCTTTGCAGACACTGCATTTTGTAGCAGATGGAAGATTTGTGGCAACCCTCTGTCGAGCAAGCCCATCGGGGCCATTTTTCCCAACAGCATTTGCCCCCTTCATCTCTCTGTGTCACATTTTAATAATTCTTGCCATAGTTCAAATTTTTAACAATCATTATTGTATTTGTTATGGTGATCTGTGATGACAACTCATTGAAAGCTCAGATGAGGGTTAGCATTTATTAGCAAATGCTAATCTTTTTTAAAGATTTATTTATTTGACACAAAGAGAGAGAGCATAAGCAGAGGGAGCAGCAGAGGGAGAGGGAGAAGCAGACTCCCTGCTGAGCAGGGAGCCTGACTTGGGGCTCGATCCCAGGAGCCTGGGATCATGACCTGAGCCGAAGGCAGAGGCTTAACTTACCAAGCCACCCGGGCGCCCCAATAAAGTACTTTTTAATAAAGATTTTTTTTTTTATTTTTAAGTAATCTCTATACCCCACGTGGGGCTCAAACTCATAGCCCTGAGATCAAGAGTCACATGCTCTACCAGCCAGGTGCCCTGCAATAAAGTATTTTTAAATTAAGGTATATACATGGTGTTTTGTGTGTGTGTGTTTTAAGACATGCTATTATAGGGCGCCTGGGTGGCTCAGTTGGTTAAGCGACTGCCTTCAGCTCAGGTCATGATCCTGGAGTCCCGGGATCGAGTCCCACATCGGGCTCCCTGCTCAGCAGGGAGTCTGCTTCTCCCTCTGACCCTCTTCCCTCTCGTGCTCTCTGTCTCTCATTCTCTCTCTCGCAAATAAATGAATAAAATGTTAAAAAAAAAAAAAAAAGACATGCTATTATACACTTAATGAACTATGGTGTAGTGGAAACATAACTTTTATCTGCACTGGGAAACCAAAACATTAATTTGCCTGACTTTATTGTGATATTTGCTTTATTGTGGTGGTCTGGAACTGATCCTGTAATATCTCTGAGGTATGCCTGTCATCCCCATTTTACAGCTGAGGAAACTGAGGCTCAGTTCAAAGACATACGGTTAGTAAGCGCTGAGCCAGAACTTCATGCAGTCAGCAAATATTTGAGTGTCCACAAACATCAGGGCCTGCCAGTCACATGGGTACAGAGTGATATTCAAGGTCCCAGCTCTCCTGGAAGTTCCATGTGTTGAGCAGATGGACAATGCACAATAAACAAACAGGGATGAGGGGAGAGGGACTGGGTGGCAGTGGGGTGGACAGTGTTGCTTTTCTAGATTGGAATCAGAGCCAGGCAGAGCTGTTTCCTCAATATCCAGTGCTGATAAATATGTGGAAAATGACCCTTCCTACCACCTTCAACCTGGTCGTATTTTTTTATTTTATTTTATTTTTTTTATTTATTTGACAGAGAGAGACACAGAGTGAGAGAGGGAACACAAGCAGGGGGAGTGGGAGAGGGAGAAGCAGGCTTCCCGCGGAGCAGGGAGCCCGATGCGGGGCTTGATCCCAGGACCCTGAGATCATGACCTGAGCCGAAGGCAGACGCTTAACCGACTGAGCCACCCAGGTGCCCCTAACCTGGTCATGTTTAACTCCTGTCTGATACACCAATATGTGGGTCCAACATCTTTTCTTTTTTTTTGAGTAAACTCTACGCCCAGTGTGGGGCCTGAACTCAGACCCCAAGATCAAGAGGCACAAGCCCTACGGACTGAGCCAGCCAGACACCCCATGGGCCCAACATCTTCTATAGCTTGGCCTAGGTGCTGGACGAATATTATTTCCAGCTTTCTCCAATTACAGATGGTGAGGCAGTGTTCAGTATGATGCATGGGGCTTTTTGCTTTGGATGACTTCTTGGGAGAAAGTTTTGGGAATGAAGTTGCCAGCTCAAGGGTCATAGGCATATTTACCACTCTGGGTTTCTCCTTGTGGATAGTGAGGTCTGGCACTTTTCCTGAGCACCTACTGCATGCTAGGGCCCATCTTCATTATACATCCTCACAGATTACTCTGGAAAGTGGACTGCCTGAGAAATGCCTTCTCAACCTTTCAAAGCCTTGCTCAAACACCCCCTGGTGAGTCTTCCCCTACTTCTATGACAGAATTAGTCTTTTTTTTTTTTTTAAGATTATATTTATTTATTTGACAGAGAGAGAAATAGCGAGAGCAGGAACACAAGCAGGGGGAGTGGGAGAGGGAGAAGCAGGCCTCCCGTGGAGCAGGGAGCCCGATGTGGGGCTCGATCCCAGAACCCTGGGATCGTGACCTGAGCCAAAGGCAGACGCTTAATGACTGAGCCACCCAGGTACCCCAGAATTAGTCTTTTTTCATGTAAAACCTAACCTATTATTTTAGCATCACGACATGCCAAGCTTCCTCAGTCTCTGCCCTGGGGGCTTTGTCCCCCCCACTAATGGTGAGCCCTGAGCGGCCAAGCCAAGGATGAGCTAATGAGAGCTACATTCAGGACTTAGTTTGACTGTAGGGGAGGGAAGTTTTCTATCCTCTTGGAAGTCATACTCTTCACACAAAGGAGCCAGGACACCTGCCCTTGCCTCTCATCTTAGCCAAGGGACCTCAGCTGAGGTTTGCAGCCTCTGCAGGACTCAGTCTTCACATCTATAAATGGAAGCAGTAATACATAAAACTTTCCCAACACCTTTAATAAGGCATCCTTTTCCTCCCACAGGGAACTGCCATCCCATAAAGGTGCCTGTGGGTTCCAACAGCCCAAACCAGCAGATGCCAGTTATTTCAAAATACAGAGACCCAACTCTTACTCCTAGTGACTTTTTCTCCCCGACAGGTTTCTGGCATTCCTGAGATTACTAGGCGGCTGCCAGGGGACAGTGGGACAAAAAGTCTGTCACCTGGGCAGGCCGTGGACATGGCCTCACCTCCTTACCAGTGTTATTTTTAGACAAAGTCCTTGGCTACCTTATCTAAATGGCCTGACTGGAGACCTTGACGTCTCAGCTTTTCAAACATCCAACGGGACGCCCACCTCGCCTTCCTCCTAAACGCCTGGGCTGGTCCAGTACAGGCCCCACCTACAGCTGTCTGGTCAAAAGGCCCCTTTCATTATAACGCTTTTGTTCAATAAGACCATTTTTTCCCTCGGAGCAAGTTCGGCCAAGTACACACTGTCTAAAAAGAGATTTTTTTGCTGTGGGCAGACTGAAATCCCACACAGAAGCCATTTTCTGTAATCCAGGCGCTTAATTTTCTAAGCAGCCTGGGAAACCTCTTGTTCCAGCTCATGTCCCATAAAACAGGATCTGTAATTTTTATACTTATCTGTAACCCACTTCCAGAAAGGATCGGGACGGCGGGGTCAAAGAGGAGTGAGGGACACCAGACTGTGTGGCCAACGGGAGCAGCGCCCTCGTCCCCCTCCGCGGGCAAAGGTGGGTTAGTCACGGTCACGGGGCTGCCTCCTGCGCGGGGGCGGGTGGGGCGCGCCCACAAAGCCAGCAGCCCCGTGTCATTCACCTTTGGACAGAATTCCGCGCGGCTGTCGCAGCCCCGCCACGGGATGCAGCCCCGCCCGCCCGGAGCCTCTAGGCCCCGGCGTCCTCAGCACCAAGGACAGGGAAACTGAGGCTGCCGGGGGCCTTGGGGGGCGGGGTCACCTGTGCTGCCTCGAACCAATCGCCTCTGCCCTCTTTCGGACCTTGGTTTCTGACTCGGGGATAGTAACTCCTCCGGCTCTGGGTTGGACGGAGCGTGGTCGCGCCTCGCGAGGAGCTGAGCCGCCGCGGGGAAAGGTTATAAAAATACAGCCACGGAGCTGCAGGGGAGGTGCCCTGGCCCAAGGTCATGCGGAAAGAGAAGCCAGCTTCCAGGCATCAGCTTCCTGCCTGCCCCCTGCCAGGCCCCGGCCTCTGATGTCCTGGGGCCCCCGGGGGTCCTGGCGAGCTTTCGGCTCGCAGAGCCAAGCCCTAGATCCTCGAGGCTCGGAGGCCGGCCTCGCCCGGCCCCCGCAACGCTCTAGGGGCGCCCCCGGGCCTCGCTCGCCGCACTCCGACCCCGCGACCCCCGGCGCCGGCTCGACGCCCCGCCCCCCGCGCCGGCCCCGCCCCCCGCGCCGGCAGCGCCCGGGGCGGGGGGCGGCGCCGCAGCCAATAAGGAGGTGGCGTGGCGAGGGCGGCGGCGGTTGTGACGCGCCGGGCCGGCGGGCGGCGGCCAATCGGCGGCGAGCTCGAGGGCGGGCTGTGACGCGAGCGGCGCTCCTCGTGCGGCGGCGGTATAGGAGCGAGCGCCGCGGCGAGCAGGGACAGGCGAGCGCCGCCGCCGCCGCCGCCCGCCGCCCGCTCCCTCCGCGCCGCCGCCCCGCGTCCGCCCGGCGCGCCGCCAGCCGCCGCGCCCGCTCCCGGCCGGCCCGTCAGCGAGCCGGCGAGCCGCCTCCGCGCCCGGCCTCCGTGAGGGGGGCGCCCGGCCGGACTCTGAGCCTCCCTGGCGCGCGCTGCGGCCGCCCGCCCGGCATGAAGACCAAGTTCTGCAACGGAGGCGAGGCGGAGCCCTCGCCGCTCGGGCTGCTGCTGAGCTGCGGCGGCGGCAGCGCGGCCCCGGCGCCCGGCGTGGGGCAGCAGCGCGACGCCGCCAGCGACCGCGAGCCCAAGCCGCCGGGCGGCCCGCAGCCGCCGCTCGCGCTGCCGCCGCCGCCGCCGCCGCTGCCGCTGCCCCCGCCGCCGGCAGGCGAGCAGCCCGAGCCCCGGACGCGGCGCAGGGCCTATCTGTGGTGCAAGGAGTTCCTGCCCGGTGCCTGGCGGGGCCTTCGCGAGGACCAGTTCCACATCAGTGTCATCAGGTCGGTGGCGGCCCCCGCGGGGGTGGGCGCGCGGGGCAGAAGCGGGGAGCCGCTACCCGGTCGGGTGACGCTGGCCGGGCGGGGCGGGGCCTGCGGACCCTGCGGGGGGCTGAAGCCCCCTTTCCCCGAGCCGCGTGAAATCCCGGCGGGATTGCGCGGCCCTGGCCCCGCGGCCTCACAGGACCTTCCAGAAGACAGGCTGTTGAAAAAAATACACGTACACCGGTTTCATGGGACAACAGGTCTCCTGTAGGCAGAACAATGCCGTTGAATCACAAAGTGCGTTTTGTCCAGAAGCTTAAAGATTTGTCTGGGAAACCCCTTTGCGGTTTTAGGGCCTTGAATGCGGAGGGCTGGCCTGATTGGCCTTGAAAAAAGTCACCTGATAAGTTTGCTTCTAGTTCCTCGAGTCCATGGTTTGCTTTTCTCCCCGCGCTGAAAGAGTCATTTGTTAGTGTCCAAGGGGTGACGTTTGCTCATCCTGGCCAGCACTGTTCAGTCATAGGGGTGTATTAGTGGCCAGAGTTTAGGAGGTGTCGTTCCAAAAATTACGACCAAGGGAGAAAGATTCCCCCCCTTTTTTAAGCTAAAAATATTTAGTCGTAAATTTAAATGACAAAAAATGTATGTGTATGTGTATTCAGACTGAACAGGGAAAGACTCCCTTGATTTCTTTCTTTTTTTTTTTTTTTAAAGATTTTATTTATTTATTTGAGAGAGAGAGACACAGTGAGAGAGAGAGAGCATGAAAGGGGGGAGGGTCGGAGGGAGCAGCAGACTCCCTGCCGAGCAGGGAGCCCGATGCGGGACTCGATCCAGGGACTCCAGGATCATGACCTGAGCCGAAGGCAGTCGCCCAACCGACTGAGCCACCCAGGTGCCCAAGACTCCCTTGATTTCTGTTGCCGTTCTGCTCCCACGAGATAACTATTTAACAGTTAGTGTTCTTTTATACAGACCTTTAAAAATGCGTTTCTTTCTCGCAGCTTTTCTTTTAACTGGTTGACCAGGTTGAGTGTCATATCTAGAAACTGGCTGGCTGCCACTGATAATCCCCAAATCCAATTGTAGTCATTTGATCGCTTTTCCGTGCCCAGTCTTTTCAAGCAGACCTGCAAATGCAGCAGAATAACCGAGCTTCACTTCCTTGTTGTCCTCTGGCCTCTCTTACGGATTTGCTTATGAGCAGTGAGAGGCAAAAGATAAGAATCAAAAACAGAGGTTTTAGATAATCTCGCAATTGCCTGAGGTTTTTTTTTTTTTCATGAATCTCTCCAAAACTATCACACTTAGTTAGCCCCGAAGATCCTCAGTGAAAAGGGTGATAGAGCTCATCCTAGGCCGTGTCATCAGTCTGTAAAATGAAAAACCTAGAGGGGCTGGAGGTCAGTGGCTGTTTGCTGAACTAGGAGGTCTCTGTACCCCCCTCCTGCTCCAGTGCTCTTGCCTGTTGCCTGTGAAGACGTTTGGACACCCCGGGATTCAGCCTTAAGACATTTTTTTGTGGCACCTTTTGGGGAAGTGTCAATGGTCAGTTAAACCTGTGTTTTGCTCAAAACTCATTTTAAGAGCGTTGAGGATGTGTTTTGTTTCTTTTCTCCAAGAATTCAGAGTCTTAGAAATGGTCTTGAAAGCTTTCCTTTGGTTTGGAGGACCTTTTAAAACAATGTATGGTATACACTGCCTCTTAGTTCTGTTTTCTGGAATAGAATGTGGTTATGGAATCCATTTAATAGGGAGAAAAGAGGTGATTTAGGACATGGGAAGGGGGTGATGCCTAGCTTTTAAAAAGGCAAAAGAGGGGGACGCCTGGGTTGCTCAGTCGGTTAAGCGTCTGCCTTCGGCTCAGGTCATGATCCCAGGGTCCTGGGATCGAGTCCCGCATCAGGCTCCCTGCTCCGTGGGGAGCCTGCTTCTCCCTCTGCCTCTGTCTCTTTCTCTGTCTTTCATGAATTAAATAAATAAATAAATAAATAAATAAATAAATAAATAAATAGCAAAAGAGGCAGTTCAGAGTAGGGAATGGGGTTTCCCTTGGTTGAAATCTAGTGAGTTGCCTTTCCTGTGACTCCGACTATTAGATGTTACTGACACTTCACCATCTTTCAGCTTTTGGCTGAGTGCTGGTCCATCCCCAGCGGTTTGTCAGACCTCACCACCTCAACTCAGTCCATCTAGTCTGTCCACATTTCACCCTTTTGCTCCTTCCCACCCTGGGATATGCTCTTGCTGCTTTCTGTCTTTGAGTTGGTAACAGCAGCTGGCCAGAGTCCCGGGACCACTGCCACCTTTGCCCTCCCCCAGAAGCCCCTCCTCTGCCTGCAGCGGCAGCTGAGACCTGGTGACCTGCTTTTGCATCCACACCTACTGTCTGTTCTCTGTGCTGTTTCTGAGGCCAGGAGTCCAGGTCCGCGTCCTTGCTTAGACACCGTAACAGGAGGTGCCCATGGATGTCCTTGCACTTTGGGTTCCCTCCTCTAAATCATTCTTTGTCCTGTTGCCAAGTATTCTCAAATAGTTTTACTCTTTGTTTTAAAGTTTACGTGGCTTCTTGTAGCTGGAGAATAAAATCCGGACTTATTTGCCTGCTTTAAACTTGGGCCCCAGCCTCCCTAGAGTGGTTCCTTTTTGTTGCTATTGTTTAAAAATCGCTCCCCCCTCCCCCCCACCAGCAGTGAGGAGCAGTGGGCTCCTTACACTGGACCCTGTATTTCCTGAATGAGCTTTGTGCTTTTAGTCTCTAGGCCTTTCTTTGCTCTTAAACTCTGCTTGGCAGCCTGGTGTCTGCTTTTAAACTTCCTCCTTCAAGACCTAACTTAGAAACAATTAATTCCTTCTTTATTTATGTCTTTTCCATAGCACTTCATATACATAGACACCTTCACAGCAACAACAGCTGCCGCATTTGTGTGTTTATTCTTTGCCTCTTCTGTTAGATTGAATTCCTAGAGGGCATTTCCTGTTCATCTCAGATCTCCAGCAATGGAATAGTGCCTGACTTGTGGTAGGCACTAGATTTTAGCTTAAATTGATCTCTTCACTATCCTCCTACTGTGATGACAGTGGTCTTTCTAATCAGACTGTTGTTTGCCTGAGTCCCGCTAGCTAGGAGTGGTATAGGGAAAGATAAAAATTATGGTGACATTGAGGCGCCTGGGTGACTCCTCGGTTAAGCACCCAGCTCTTGATTTTGGCTCAGGTCATGATCTCAGGGTCGTGAGAATGAGCCCCACATGGGGCTCTGCGCTGGGTGTGGACTCTGCTTAAGATCCCCCCTCCCTGCCACACTCACTGTCTCTCTCAAAAAAAAAAAAAAAAAAAATTACTGTCCATGCCCAGCCGTCACAGCTGATCACTAGCTTCTGTCCAGGCCCATCAAATCAAGGGTTTGTTATTATCATTCTTGTTGCTGATTGGTAAAAGTCACAATCAGTTGTGAAGTGAAATTGCAAATCTTTGCAAGATTTCATGAAGTCTGGTGGAAGAAATGTTTGAGAGCTGTTAAAGTTTCACACATATCTGTTGACACATTACAACCCACAGACCCACTAACAGTTGGAAATTGATGAGGAAGGTGATACCTTGAGCTCTCCCAAGTAGAATCATTTAGATATCAAAAAACCAAGAGAAGTCATTGAAAAGACTGGCGAAGTCCTTAAATATATTTGCACAATGACGCAGTAAAAGTCAAATAGGGAGTGAGTTGTGGTTTATGATGTCATCATTAAGTTTTTTGTTAGAATTATGCCAAAATTCCCTACTTAATTTCCTTTCTATGTATACAGTTGCATTTATAACCTAAATTATATGTAACGTCTAGTTTCATTTTTCAAGATAGAGTTTCATTTACATTTTGTTTTTACTATTTACTGTGAAAATTTGGTCCCTTAAATGACTTTACTTTTTTATTTTGTTTATTTATTTGAGAGAGAGAAAGAGAGATAGTGAGAGAGAACACAAGCATGGGGTAGAGGGAGAAGCAGGCTCCCCGCTGAGCCAGGAGCCCGATGTGGGGCTCAATCCCAGAACCCTGGGATCATAACCTGAGCTGAAGGCAGATGCTTAACTGACTGAGCCACCCAGGTGCCTCCCCCTTTTTTTAAGATTTTATTTATTTATTTGAGAGAGGGAGTGAGAGCATTAACGGTGGGGAGGGGCAGAGGGAGAGGGAGAAGCAGACTCCCCGCTGAGCAGACAGGGCTTGGTCCCAGGATCCTGGGATCATGACCTGAGCCGAAGGCAGATGCTTAACCGACTGAGCCACCCAGGTGCCCCAAGTGGCCTTACTTTTTTAAAAAAATTAATAGGGCGCCTGGGTGGCTCAGTCGGTTAAGCATCTGCCTTCGGCTCAGGTCATGATCCCAGGGTCCTGGGATCAAGCCCCACATTGGGCTCCCTGCTCAGCGGGGAGCCCGCTTCTCCCTCTCCCTCTGCCTGCCACTCCCCCTGCTTGTTCTCTCTCTCTGTCAAATAAATAAATAAAAATCTTAAAAAAAATTAATGAACTTGGGGCACCTGGCTGGCTCAGTCGGTGGAGTATGTGACTCTTGATCTCAGGGTCTTGAGTTCGAACTCCATGTTAGTCATAGAGCTTACTTAAAAAAAATTAATAAACTTAATTTTTTAAGAGCAGTTTTAGGTTCACAGCCAAATTGAGCAGAAAGTACAGAGAGTTCCCATATACCCCATCCCCCCCAACACACACACCAGAGTGGTACATTGGTGAACCTACACTAACATCATTATCACTCAAAGTCCCTAATTTACACTAAGGTTCACTCTCAGTGTTGTACATTCAGTGGGTTTGGACAAATGTATGTCACGTATCTACTATTGTAGCATCCTGCAGAGTAGCTTCACTGCCCTAAAGGTCCTCTGTCCTCTGTCTCTCTTCCCAACCCCTTTTCTCAAATGTCCTATGATTGGAAGCATAAAGTATGTAGTCTTTTCAGATTGGTGTCTTTCCTTAACAGTATGCATTTAAGTCTCCTTCATATCTT